CTCCGTCAAAGTACATTGTCCATGTTTCCTTTTCTACCTGCAGAATGTCTCCATATGGGAATAGATACTCTACTGCCTCGTCTCCTTCCACTAGGTGGTCTGCCAAAAATTCCGCTACCGCTTTTCCTTTGACTAATTTACACGTGACATATTTGAGGTCAAACTCAGAGAGAAGAAGCAACCAACGAGCTAGCCTATCCATAAGCACTGGTTTCTCAAAGAGATATTTGATGGGATCTAATCGCAAAACAAGAATTATGAAGTGAGCTAACAAGTAGTGCCTCAACTTCTTGGTGGCCCAAACCAAGGATAAGCAAGCTTTCTCCAGGGAAGTGTAGCGGGTCTCGTAATCCAACATCTTCTTACTTAGATAATAGATGGCCGTCTCCACCTTAGCTTTTGGTTCTTGAGCTAGCATGCACTCCATGGTTGATTCTGTCACTGATAGGTACATAATCAAGGGCTTTTCCAGCTCTAGCGGCGACGATACATGCGGGTTCTGAACGTACTGCTTGACCTGCTCAAAGGCAAACTGATATCGATCATCCCATTGGAATTTCTTCCCCTTCTTCAAAAGACCAAACAGTGGTTCACAAGTCAAGGTTAATTTTGAGATAAACCATCTTATGAATTGCTCTTTACCTAGAAAGCCACACACCTCTTTTTTAGTCCTAGGGGGTGGCATTTCTAAGATGGCCTTGATTTTGAAAGGATCTGTTTCAATTCCCCTTTGCGTGATAAAAAATCCCAGCATTTTCCCTGTAGTCACTCCAAAGGTGCATTTTTGTGCGTTCAACCTTAATCTGTACTCCTTGATCCATTCAAAGAATTTTTCCCGTGCAATGTAGTGGCCTTCCTGCTCTTTGGACTTTACAATCATGTCATCCACGTACACCTTACCTTCCTTATGGATTATGTTGTGCAAGATCGTGGTTGCATCCTTCTAATATGGAGCCCTAGTGTTTTTTAACCTAAAAGGCATGACTCTGTAGCAGTAGGCACCCCACAGCGTGGTGAACGCAGTCTTCTCTCTGTCTTTTGGTGCCATCAGAATTTGATTGTACCCTGAAAATCCATTCATGAACGATAACAAGACATGACCCGTAATGAAGTCTACCAACTCGTCGATGTGTGGCAATGGAAAGTCGTCTTTCAGACTAGCTCTATTCAGATCCTGAAAGTTGACACAAACTCTGATTCTGCCATCCTTTTTTGAAACCGAAACGATATTGGCTAACCAAGTTGGGTATTCAGACACCATCAAGAATCCCACATCAATCTGCTTGGTGACCTTTTCCTTAATTTTCAGTGCCCAATCTGGACAGACTCTGTAGAGTTTCAATTTGATTAGTCGGGCCTCGGAGTCAAGAGGGATCCGATGTTGTATAATCTCAAGATCAATTCCAGGCATGTCTTCGTAGGACCACGCGAAAACATCTTTAAATTCTTTTAATAAAGCGATTAAACACTCAGGTTCCTCTGAAGACAACGTGGACCCGATCTGGACCAAGCAGGGATCCTCCTCAGTACCCACGTTAATTGCAATGATCTCATCTATGCAAGGCTTAGCACATCTTTCCTCTTCTCAGTCAACCAAATTTTTTAAAGCCCGAGGAATTTCTTTCTCTTCGTTTAATTCAAAATTTTGAAAATCAATGTTAGTGTAACAAACTAAAGGCACAAAGAAGTAAGTAAAATCTACTGCATTCCCATTGATAAAGTCAGGATCCTCTGTTACAGTCAACTCGAAAGAAAAACTGAAAGAAGAACTAAACAGGACTTTGGCACCTGGGTTACCACCCCCGAAAGTGCCAGACTCAGACTGACTCGAATCTAATCCCAACTCAACAGACATGGTGGAGTCAGATTCAGGCTCATTATCCAATTCAGAACTGCCAGTGATGCCCTTCTCGAATTGCCAGACTAGGCGTGACGCCTCAGCTATATCCATAATGAGACTAGAGAAATCTGTCGTTGGTTTATCCTTGATCATAAAGATAGTAACACTGCCCCCCAAGTTAACGGGCTCAGCCTCGACATTGGAGTTTGCGAGTAGGTCAGCCAGTGCCATCCATAATAGTTCATTCTCATCAACGTCCAAGCTTGCATTGCTGTCTTGCTCTGTACCGACACTTAGGTCAATTTGCTCCTCCTCTTCCTCTCTGTCGATCAAATGGTGATAGAAAAAGATCTCAAATCCTTGGTACCTCATCTTGGTGTCCCATTCAATCTAGGGCTCTAAAAATCTGCAAAAAGGGAAATCTTCCTCTTGGCAGACGACGTGTTCGTTTAGGGTTCCCTGTATTGGCTTGTGGACTAGTTAATATTGCCTCCCGACCCTTTTTACTTTAACTCATTCCCTCAATTTATCTCTTTTTCTCTTCTAGTCTTCTGTAGTTGGCTTGTACCCCAGCCCAAAATCATGGGGGTTGTGACTTATCTCTTTGGCAATAGTATTTTCTTGCCTTTCACTTCTACCCAGTCCCGATCTGGAAATGTGTCCTTGTTTATTCATCATATAGATGGATTGGGCGCTCACATAGTTCCCGTTGTCCTCTGCCGTGATGGACTATACCAGCTGGGCCTCTGCCAAGGAGAAGCTAGAGAGGAACACGTCCTCTTCTCCATGCATTATTTCTAATAAGGGTGTGGTGGTTCTTCAGGGATGGTAGATCGAAAAATTGCCATAAACAGTAGTGTAGACACCCCATTTTTGACCGTCCTCAAGACTTGGACGTCACCATTTGAACACCCGGTGATCATCCATGTTTGTGTTCGTTTGGAGTTCCCGGAGGTCTCGGCTACGCGCCTTGCCTCAGGATCTCCGAACTCGACTGTTTAGTGTCTGGTTTTGCACCAAACACTTGTGTTTTGCCTTGGAGGGGCAGGGAATGCCTCACAAGGCATTCCCACACATCACCGGCCATGGCCAGAGGTCACCGGCTGGTGTTTTGTTGCCATCGGCAATGTATATTGCCGGTCGGCAGTCCATTTTGTCAAAATGGCAATTTTGAGGAGCCGACTACTGTTCATCTACTTTTGCAGATATTTTAATACAGTTGGCTTGCATTTTGTTCCCCTCTATACACGTGTATGGAGGGATGGCTTCCTTGTTAGCTTCTTGAAGATTGTCACTAAACAAAACTCAAATAAAATTTTGAGCAAATTACACTAATAATTCCTATAGTTTGGAACTTATGTCACTTTAGTCCCTGACTTTTCAATTGTGACATATTTGACCCTGAATTCTGAATATTGTTTCAAATAAGGACAATTGAACATGCCATTACTTAATTTCAAGGGCAAAATCATCAATTTGATAAAATATAAACTAATTTGACAAAAATAAATGTCAAAAAAATATTTTTAAATTTTTAAAAAAAATTTCTACCTACCAAAGATAAAATTATGTAAAATTGATAAAATTAATAAAAATTACATGATTAATTTTTAAAAATTAATTTTACATGATCATCATCCAAATACATAATAAAAATTAATTTGGTAAAAAAGAATAAATGTCTAAAAGATTTATCAATTTTATAAAATTTTATCTTTAGTGAGTAGAAATAATTTTTTAAAATTCAAAAATAATTTTTTGACATTTATTTTTGTCAAATTAATTTATATTTTATCAAATTGACGAATTTGCCCTTGAAAAATTAAATAGTATCTTCAATTGTCTTTATTTGGAACAAGATTCAAGATTCAGAATCAAATGTGTCACAATTAAAAAATCAGGGACCAAAGTAACACAAACCCTAAACTATAAGGATCGTTGGTGTAATTCACTCTAAAATTTTTACATCACAAAAATGGTCCAAGGAAAGGGTTTTGGCCAAAAACACCCTTTTTAATTATGCTAACATTTTAAAAAAAAAAAATTAAAAAAAAGTATTTTATCTCCTTACACTTCAAAATTCCACTCATACCCTTATTTCTCTTTTTTTCAAAATTTGTGTCCCTAATATTTCTCTTTTTTCAAATGAAAATAAGTCAAATTTCAAGCCAAAATATTCTGAAGTGAACAAAATCTAACACAAATAAATGTAATTTATCTTTCTAAATATAATAAGTTTTATACATATATATAACATTTATAGTATGAATGAAGATAAAAAAGAATTTGGCCATGTTTACTGGGAAACAATATAGATACACTTTTCTAGTTTTCAAAACTGGCTAATGAATAGGTGCCAAATTCAATCTCTGATTTATTATGTTTGTAGAAACTACCCAATATATCCGATAGGAAAAACAATTATTCATTGTTACACATCATAATAACATAATCATGCCACAAATAGATCTGAATCGTCCATTTACATAGATTTATAAATGAACAATTCAAATCTTTTTTTACATGACCACTTTTGCCATGAAAAATTTTTCCTGACAAAAAGACAATTCATGGTGATGTTTAATTGTTATGGTCCAAGACCCACGAGTCTGTTTAGCAAATTAACCCAATGTTAAGGCTGGCTATCTTTCTTGGCAACCAGCTTCGGAGATCTTGTATAAGAACAATGTTAAGCCCTATTTTCTTCTCTTACAATCTCACCTAGCTATGCCTTTGCTTAGTTTGATTTGGTTGTTTTTCCTCGTCCCGTGTTGACTATTTGAAGCCGTTGAATGTTGTTTCACATACACATCTGAATCCCAATTGCAATTGTATATAACATTGTAACGTGTTTGGACTTGGCAAATTCACAAATAAACAAAGAATTGGTGCTAAGTTGTGGATACACATGCTCATTCTCAAAATGAAGTTCCCTTTCACATGTACAAGTAGGCAAACTAGAATTAGTTACATAAAACAAAGAGTAATGATATGTAAACATGAAAACAAAATTTGTATACATGTTCTTATTACTTTTTGATTTAATTTCGAAATAGATCGTTAAGGTATCGTGGTTTCTTGAATGAAATTCCAATGTTAAATTTATGCAACTTCCATTTTTATTAAGAGTTTTTTTTTCTGGGAGTCAAATTGAAGGGGGAGGGGGAGGGGGAGGGGAATCGTGCATGTAAACTTGTAACCAAAAACAATGATTAAGCTTTCACCTTATACATGGTATAATTTCTATTGAGCACTTAACAGATTAATGGTGATTTCATTGCCCGTAGTTGTTGCTTCCTTGCTTGACGAAAAACCAGTCTGAAGAACATTTCTTGCAGTGAAGAAGCCAGGCTATGCAGTTTCACTGCCCAACATCAGAACTATAGATGACATGCTTGGCCTATCCTCTGGACTTTCTTGCACACATAAAAGACCCACATGGATTGATCACAACATTTCAATTTAGTAGGCATGATTCCCGTAGAGCCTCATCAATCAATTCTAATGACTTGCCTGAATAATCCACTACAATATTAGCAATATGAGACACAAGATCCTCTTATCTCAAAATTTCTCCGTTCTCCTTTCTCAAGACACTCACAGTTAGATTACGCCTCAAGATACCCCATACCTCAAGATTCTCAAGGATCCTTCGACTTAGTGTTTTAGAGCAGAAGGCAGAGATAATTTAGAAATGAAGGATCTTTTATCCTTATTAGAACACATGCATATAAGATTACTTCTAATCAGTACACTAACATAGCCAAATAGGTTGAGGCGGTGCCCTGAATGATAAAAACCTCTGTTTTTCTTCCCACTCACAACCTCTAACACCAAAACGCCAAAGTTAAATACATCCGATCTTCACTTACTGTTTTTATATTACTTTGGCTAACATTGTTCCAACAGGTGTAGCCTACTTGAAAGTAGGGGTGAGCAGCGGATATACCGATCCGCCAAAACCGACTAAACCGAACCGATCCACCACATTTTGGACGGATGTGTGATAACGAGCGGACGGTTGCGGATTAATTTTATCCAATCTGCCAATCTAGCAGACGGATGGCGGATTTGAGATTCCTTTGATCGCAACCTAACTGCCAAACCGCAAACACCCCTAGTAATTTATAAAACTTTGTGTTTTCAGTTTGTTTAAATATTATGTTTGTGTTTTCAATTAAAAAAGAATTTACATATTTGAATATCTTTTTTGAATTGAAAAAAATAAATGTATTGTTTATCTACATTTTTTGATTTTTAAATCTATCTCTAAAAATAATAAATCAAAAATGCTAAAGGCCCCAAAAATTCTACCAAAAGTTCTACCAAATGTCTCACATGGGTGTGGGACCCACACAATGTGGGTCCCACATTGTGTGGGACCCACATGGGACCCACATTGTGTGGGTCCCACACCCATGTGAGACATTTGGTAAAACTTTTGGTAAAATATTTGGGGTCTCTAGCATTACTCATAATAAATAGAAAATATGATATATGCTGGTTGATTTTTGTTTTCAAAAACAGATATAGATGTAACAATATAGAGACATGCTGTGATTGTAGTATGTTGATGAAGCATGCAGTGATTGTGATATTTTAAAGTTTCAAACTTTCTTGCTTTGGATGAAGCATGCAGTGATTGTAATATTTTTTTAAGTTATTAACTGTAATACTTTCTTATTTTTTTGAGAAAGTGCACAAATTGAATTATGTTGAAAATTTATAAAATTTTAAACCGCCAAACCGATTTATATCCATCCGCCAATCCGCTCAATCCACATCCGCTGGATTGGCGGATGGATGCAGATTGATTTTCTCCAATCCACCAATCTGGCGGACGAATGGCGGATTGGAGGTTCCGTGACCTCAACTGACCCGCGCCCACCCTACTTGAAAGACAAAATTACACAGATTTATGAAGTTTCATAGGGAGAAAGGATGCATCAAACCAATTGTCTTCTTTGTAAGCTAAAAGAAAAATATAAAATTCCTCCTCTCAAAAGCAGGCATATTTATAAAAATTTTACCTTCGGAATAGTGGGGTCTGTATTAAAAGATTTAGTAAGTTTAGGAACACAATTTTTCTTTGAGAAAATATCATTTTGCCCCCTCTCCCAAACTTTCCCTCGTTTTTCAATTTAACCCCTAGACTTTGATTAATATCAATTTTACACCCAAACTTTTGAAATTTTGATCAATTTGGCCCTTGCCGTAATATTTCATCTATAATTGGACGGAATGTGCTGACATGGCACCAAAGTTCATTAGAAATTTCATTTTATCTCCCAGACTATATCTTAAAAATCAATTTGCCCCCCAAACTATACCTTAAAAATCAATTTACCCCCACGTTAGTACATTCTGTCCAATTATAAACGGAATATGACGGCAGGGGCCAAATTGATCAAAATTTTGAAAGTTTAAGTGTAAAATTGATATTAATCGAAGTCTGGGAGTCAAATTGAAAAACACGTAAGTTTGAGGGGTGAAATGATATTTTCTCTTTCTTTTTCTTTTTTTTCTAAAAGTGGGGATCCAAACATCAAGATGAATGCAATGTTGCAGCTTGCAAAACAAACATTCTATGCACCTTTTTGTAGAAAAATTTATGTGTTCATAGCATTACTATTTATGAAAAAGCAGTGATAAAAAAGTTGAATGGTTTTATGGCTTCTGGACAGGCTCCATGAGATTGGGCATTGATCCTATAAACTACATAAGAGTGTCTTTACATTGTTACCTTGTAAATAGGTCCAAATCCACCCTATCCATGCTTCTTGTTGATTGAAAAATTATTTGTGGAATCAGCTATTACAATTAAGTCGAACAATGGTAACTGTAGATCTTCCTTTTGAGTTTTGTCAGTGTAACCTTGTTCAGACTTGTGCATCAGAATGCCTGCAAAGCTTGAACAAAATGGATATCAATATGACAAGTAGTTCTAAAAATGTAACATACCAATACATAGTTTAACACAGAATAACACGTATAGATATATACCTTCTCTATTCAGCTGTGAATTGTTCCTTTTCCTTTTTCGGAGATACATGATCAAGCTTATGCCTAGCAGAAGAAGTGCAATTAACAATGCCAAGGTCACTGCCACTATCTCTCTTTTCTTGCTATGGACTGTTGAATCCTCAATCCGTTTAACAGAAATGGTCAATTGATTAGTTAGATAATGAAAGCACAAACTTAAAAGGATTGCTTTAGATTTCAAACCCTTGATCACCCTCCTATGTATTGAAATTGTTATGGCAAAAGGGATGAATAAAGCTAAACAAAACAAACACACAAGCATGCGAGAATTTACAAGCTTACACGGGCAGAACCCAAATTGTGACTTTGGGTAGAACCAGAAGAAAGTATTTCCACCAATTAGCGTGACTCAAGATAATTTGAGGTCTAAAGGGACAATTTTAAATGAGCTTTACAATTTTCAAAAAAAATTTCTTTGTTTTTTATTTAAAATTTGTTCTCTTTTTAAGATGGAAAAATAACTAATAATCAAAACTTATATTCAAATTTCATTATATATTATTTTCACTTGATAATATGGCTAATTCACTTAATCTTTCTTGTGACAGAAAATTTTTGGTAGAATTTTATCATTTTAATTTTAAAATTGCTATTAGCAAATCTTTCTATAATTTTATATAAGATAGAGATAAAGTTACAAAAATAAAATTAGTAAAATATCTCAACAATATAAGTTCAGTTGTTTGATGATGAGTTTTGACAATTTATTTTGAAACTAAAAGTTGGCCAAAAAGCTATGGTAAATTTAAATCTTAGGATCTTAGAGTACGTATCCAAAATTAGATATGGGTACGGGAACAAGTCATATGCACATATATATTGCATATTATATAATATTCTCGGATGAGATATTTTACATTATATAGAAATATATTACAAATGAAATAGGATTCAAAAAAAGTATGAAATTTCTATATCTAATTCATGTAGGAGTCTAAAAATATTGCTTTACTATCAAATGTGAGTTTCTTCTTCTTCATGTATTGTCACAAATTAAAGGATCTCGGTATCTAAATTGGGTACATATCCCACAGCCTTACCCATGTCATATCCGGTAGACACGGGTACTATGGGAAAATAGAAGAGTCCGTGTAACATAGCCAAAAAGAGTCCTGTATTAGAAAGACAGTGTAGGTGCTAATAAAAGTGAGGATGGCTGATTGGACTTTTTTTTCGCTATTATTGTATTGATAAATAAATCTGGTAGTCATATTTTTTTTAAACCAATGCATTTTTTTTTATTTATTTAAAATTTAACTAGCTTAGTTGATTTTCAGCCTTCATTTTTAAACCAGGGCCCTTTGGTAAAATAAAAGACTAAGGTTGTGTTTGGATCAAGAATTTGACAAAAGATTTGTGGCAAGAAAGTAAAAGGATAGGGAAAAATAAATGAAATGTAAGCTAAATTTTTTACTTTCCCTTTTCTTTTTCTTCGCCTGCACCAATCTCCTTCAAATCCTTGATCCAAACACAACCTTAAGTGAAGGTCACTTTAAGGGTCTATGTTTCTTTGAAAAAATATAAATATTTTATTTTATTTTATTTTTTAAATGGGGGGTGCCATGGCCCCCTCCCGTCCCTACACAATTCTGATTCCAGTCCTACATTGCAAAGAATGATGCAGTTTCACTTTGAGTATAAAGATCAAAGATCATCATAACTCTAGAACTCTGAAATAACACAATATAAACAAAAATCCAAACGATAAATAAACCGCGGTCAAAATTGGCTCAAATACAAGTAGAACCTACTGTGGCGGGCATGTGGGATTAGATGGGTAATAACACTACTAAAAAAAAGCATTTTGTGACCATTACAAACCGTCGCAAATAATAAAAAAAAAAGGCCGTAAAAGACCTTTTGCGACGGCAAATGGGGGTCACAAATGTAAAGGTGACATACTTTTTGCAACGACGAAGTAATCGCAAATAATTGCGACCGCCTAAACTACTTATGGTGACAGCTATTTTGCCGTCACAAATAACAAACAAAAAATGCTAACATGTTTTTTGGCGACCATCTTGTTACCATCGCAAATAGTTTTCAATGACATTTGTTGCAAATAATTATTTATTATAAAAATTATATATGCATTTGTTACAACAAAAATATCAATTGCAAGCACTAAACAATTTTTTTATAAAAAATTACATAAAATTAACAAATTAATTTAACACATAACAGAAATATTAATCTATCCCATATATGTGTACCCATGAAGTTACCAACACCAAATACATCTCATAAAGGTAAAAAAATTCTTACTGCAACAATTTTTCTATATATTGCGACTAAAATGAATCTGGAAAAAAAAAAAAAATAGACAAATTAGAGATCAGAAGTTTGGTGACCTAACAACCCACACAATGTTCACCAAATCTCCTCTGCTAATAAATATGCCCAAACCACCAAAATGAAGGATGTAAACCAGGGGCCAAATGTATTTTTGTAACATTTGAAAACATGAACTAGAAAAAATAATACTACCTGAAAGTAGAGTACCAGATCTCCAACTTCCAGTTTTTCACATTCTGAATGCTCCAAGGGGAGAGAGTGTTCGCGGATAGCCTTTTTCACATTTACCCATTCATCATCATCGGATCCAAACCCAATAAATCTTACCCGAGCCTCCTGAAATAAATGACAAATATATCAAAATTAAGAATAGGGAAAGTGGAAAAAAATTTAAGGTCATGGTTATTGTCAAAGCAATGTACAATAAAATGTGTTGATTGATATTAATGGTTTAAATTTCAACTGTTTCCACAAAATTATGATCCTCACTCTAAAAAAAAGTCAAACCCCATTAAAGAAATTCAATTCCTGGAATAAGCCTCCAAAACTGAATTGCTATTCATATTCTCGAAGTGCTGCACATGGTAAAATGGGAAGGCAGACAATATTAACAACACAACAGCACCATCCTTTTTAACAGAACACAAATATTGCACAATATATTCACTAATGTCTGATCACACCTGCAAAGCCAAAGAAAAAGGAATTAACAATATACTCACTAACGTCTGAGCATGATTTTCATAAGTTGGCAGTATCAATCAAAATAAGAATCAATACTTAAATATCCAATTCATGATCTCAATACACACCATTTGGAGGAAAAGAAAAAGAAACACTACAAGCAACAAGCAATTATTAACATAATCACAATTCTCAGCCTCCTTCCTCAGAAGATCAAGAACAAAATCAATAAGCTCACTGTTCAAAAAAATAATCAATAAGCTCACTATTCAGATTATGGATTGCTCAATGTTTCTTCAAATAGTGGGATACTTGTTCATCTTCTTTTGAAGCATGTTGCCCACTAGATGCATCCAGCACCTATAATCTTTTCATTCTTCTCTTTCTCACCTAGGTTACCAAATGGACTGTTAAATTTATCAAGGCCACATGAGGACAAGCTTGCCAAAACTTCGTTGAAGCCTCAATGCTAACCCATAATTGCTCTACCCAACCAAATGTGAAACCAATAGCACTAAAGCAACCCATTCAAATAAATAGTTCATTGTGCTTCCCATTCACCAAACTGAACACACAATCTAAAGGAGTGATAAGCAAACACTTACTGTTGGGTATGGCCACTTAGAATGTGATTGCCACCAAGCCTTTAAGACAGAGGTGGTATCACCAGGGAGTTTTCCAACCCTTCTCTTTCGTAAAATTTCCTCCCTATTGTCCACAAGTTTCTCCTTGTAACCCTATATTTAATAAAAAATAAAAAAAGAGAGAAAAGAAAAGAAAAGAAAAAAAGAAAAGGAAAAGAATGTTAGTGACACTGACAATGTACAAAACATAACATAACCAAATATTTAGTCCCAGACCTGCAGCAATTCATGCTTTAGCTCTTGCCTTACACATTCCATCAATGATCTCTCTCTCTCTCTCTGTTGGGATAAGAGGACCAAATCCCATGGTGTCAGGTCCATCAAACATCATCATCAGACATTGTTGCCCCGGTGCCTTCTCCAGGAGAAACACCTATTCATGTAGCATGTTAAAGCAGAATTTGCTTTAGTATTTTATGATTTAGCCAATGCATAGAGTTTAAAATGCAAATCCAATTCCCTAGAAGCAATGGTTTATCCATAAAATATACAAAGCAATTAGTGATCCTTCATTTTTAATTTTTTCCCCCATGAATGGTCACTTGAGGATGATTCACATTCATCTCAATAAAACTGAGAGCAAATTCAATCTCCATTTGGTTTGACCCAAAAAAAAAAAAATTTATCACAAAGAGGCATTTCCATGTAATAAAATTGTGTCTACATATACAAGAACTCTTCATAACTAGCAGTATTTTCAAGGGACATAAACCTGCACTACACAATAATATAATACATTACAGGTACTTCCCGTGAAACATACAAAAAGGGTTCAAAATCAGATAGAAACTATGCAGGGTACATTCTCCAAAAAATATCTTATCAGACCACCTGTCCAAGATTAGAAATCCGATGTTTATTTTCTTTTTATTCTTCAACTGAATGATACTAAGTTACTGTAAAAATGGAGAGAAGATGAGATTACAGAAAGAGAGTGAAAGAGAACTCCATACCTGTTCATTGCCCTTGGTCTTTGCTCCATTTCTGAAATCGAAGCTCTAATCGAACAGAACAATAGCATCAGAATAGATTAAATCAGATCATATAACGAACTAGGGCAGAGCAATTGCATCAGACTATCAAGATCACAAAGGCCTAAAATCGATTCAGATCAAAAGAGATCCAAATCATATGGCCTCGATCTCCTTCTCTCCCTCTTCGATTCTCCTCTGTGCCTCGTAAAATAAGAAGTGAAGGGAGAGAAGAGCGAGCGAGAGAAACCACGATCGATCACGATCTCTTGGACTCTCCTATGCGTCTAGACAATTGTACTGCTCCCTCTTGGATTCTCCAGATCACGATCGAGCGACATCAGATTTGGGAAACGAGAGTCTAGGGCAAGCTTTACACAATCAGGGGTTTAAGTAAAGGTTTAAGTAAAATGGAAAATAAATGAAAGAAAATAAGAAAAATAAATTGGGCACATAAATGATAAATGACAAGTAAAATGAAATTTTTTTGCTATCACTAATTTTGCTTCGGCTGATTTGCTGTTGCAATTTAATTTTATTTTATTTTATTTTATTATATATATATATATACTAGTGTATATTCGTGTCTAAAGTTACGGTATAAATAATGTTAAAATCAAAATATAATTATAATTTATACGTATCATGTTGAAATTTGTGAAGTTTGTGTCATTTTTTGATAAAGATACGAAAAAAAATAGATTTAAATATTTTTCTTCTTATAAAACTTGTAACAATTTTATTTATTACACGCTCTACAAAATTCAAATAAAATAACAACTCATTTAGCCTTGATGCAAATTAAAAAACAAACACATTTGAGAGGGAATTTAAAGGCCAAAAAACAATCTCTCACCAATTAATCTTAGAAAGAAATAATCATTCATACCAAAATATTCAAAATATTTTTAAAAAGCTGTCTTCTTGATCTTAGTCGTATAAAATCTGACAATGTTTAAAATTGATCTTGACCATCTAAAATGCTACATGGACAACTGTTCAATCTCTCTACTTGGACAATGATACAAAGTATAGAACAATGTAATAATAATGATTCCTAAATTTCAAAAATTCACAAAGCTTCACCGTTCAAGTGATGACGAAACAGAATACATTAATGCAACATCATCATAATAATCACCACTGTAACGCCCTCAAAATTGTAACAATAAACCCATCAGATAAAACATACATTTACATATAAACTAACCTTTCTAAACTCAACCAACCTGTAACAAACCCGCTCAACACATCCTATAACTCAAATTCAAAGTAAGAAAGGATGCAAACAAGATAATAAACAACTACCAACATCCACAGACACATGTCCGGATCACTATACAACAAGGGTAAACCCGGGATCGCTATAACCACCTTGCTCTTGCTTTCCATTGGCCCGTGAGAAATTAATGCAAATTGTGAAAGTTAGGTTAGTAACTTGGTAGGCAGAAAGTCGAATGTTACATAATATTACAAACTCAAAAAAAAAAAAAAAAAAAAAAAAAAAAAAAAAAAAAAAAAAAAAAAAAAAAAAAAGAAGAAGAAGAAAAAAAAAAAGAATTGATCTGATCTGGCATGGTACGTGATTGAAGGTTGAGATATCCATTACGCAATATAATAACTACAAACTCTTTTGCAAATGTCATTGTCACTGCTTAAAGCAACGCAATTATTATGGTCAATTGAAACCTGTCATTACACGTTCAGCTTTATGATCAATTGAAACATGTCTGCACTATTAAAGTAGATAAATGAAGAGAAAGAAAACAATACCAGAGAGTCAAATTGAGAATGACAATGAATCATACAAACCTCTAGACTTTAGCTGCCCAAAAACCTATTGCAGTGAAAACATCATGTTTGATACAATAAGAAAAAGAAAACAACCAAAGAAAAGCAGAATTCAATAGTAAAACGATGATATAAAACCTTGCGAGTATCTGTGTATTTTTTTCCTAATGCAAGAGTTTAGGTTATTCCTACACTCTTCTAACTCATTGAGAGTATTGTTCAATGGAGACCCAAAAAAGGAATGTGAGACATGTATTTCATAGAAAAGAAAAGTTACATTATTAATTGGAACATGATTAAACAACGTCATAATGGATACAAATTTTTAAGATTGTAAACTGACACATAATTAAATTCAAAAAGCAATTAAAGTTTACCTTGTGTTTAATATCCATTTTTGGATGAATATATTGTTTTGAGTTCCCGTCAAGAAAACAAACCAGTTGGAAACATTGTTAATTATAAAGGTTAAAAATACAAAATAACTATAAAAGATAGACAAAAAAAAAACAATATAATATTTTGATTTAGATCCAAAAATATACATGATCCCCTAGCTAGAAAATTTAAATCATATTAAATAAAACCCTCAACAGAGCTCAATAATTAAATCATGAATTTACCTTTATAACTATAACTCATGCCTCAATCTAGAAGTGCTCACACCGGTAAATAAAAAAATTACGAACTTCAATCAATGTGAATTTTTCCAAAGAAAATGAGCATCAAAACTAACATCCTAAAAAGCAATATATAAAGGACATGGAAAGAATTTCAAAACAACAAATATGAAGGTTAAAAGAGCTTAGCAATTCAATAAATCCTAGTTCTGCTACATCAATGGAAACGGTGTCTTGACTCCGTAGGATATAATATTAACACCTAAGCTCAATTTCGTTCAGTCGGTCAATTTTATTTATTTTATTTACTTTTAACAAAAAATAAAAAAATAAATAAAACAAAGAAGACCATGAATTACTCTACTCAAGAAAATAACGTAACATCCACACAAAGATAAAGAATTACATGCCTAGAATCAAACCATGAGAAAATTGAACTTTCAGCATGTTTAACTAATAAAGATAAAAACACATCAGCATGTTTTGTAGACCAAAATAGAAATAGTTGTATAACCTAATCAGCATAATCCACAAATCTAAAAGTAAATATTAGAAATCCAGTACACAAACTGAAGGAAAAAAGAAAAAGAAGAAAAAGAAATCTCTCTTAAATTAGCAAAAACTTTAATCCTCCCTGGGGGATCGGTTAGTGCCCTGTTGATTTTTTATTATTTATTTTTTCAAACTCTTGGGAAACCTTTTAATTCCCACAACACTGTTCAGATTCCATAAAAAAAATAAGAGTATGATGCTTTATTGATCATAACTCGCATCACCTTATAACTTCTGCGTATATCACTTGCATAAGATAAATGAAATTTTACATTGTTCTCTTGCCTACATAATACTGCTATTAAGGGAAATTATCTCTGGCAATCTCAATTTGGAGTTCAGCCTCCATGTCACGTACTTCTCAAAGCAGTTTTTAGTTTTTCTACATAGAAACAATTTACAAAGTATATAGAGCTCAACTGTTCATAAACTTCAGGGGTGTGAAAAATTAGGGCTTTCTGCTATATGAGAACAATAGTTAGATTAAGTAAAATCATGCGAATGTAGTTAAAAATCTTGATCAAACTGAAGCATATATATAAATAAATGTGTGTACCCTTCGCAATGTTGCATGAGGCTAAGCTAGTGGTTGTGCGATGGTTGAGATAGGGAGTGGGGTTGCTGCAGTTGTTGCGATCGAGATGTCGACAACGGGTCGCTAAGAAGGGAGGAGCAGAGACGATTGTGAGGAGTGTAGGTGTCTGCGAAAAGGAAGAGGCAAATCTACTACTATATGGTGGAGAATTCTGTGTACATCAACATGTTTTGTAGACCAAAAGAGAAATAGTTGCATAACCTAATCAGCATAATCCACAAATCTAAAAGTAAATATTTGTAATCCAATACACAAATTGAAGGAAAAAAAGAAACAGAAGAAAAAGAAATCTCTCTAAGGAAAAAAAAATGAAGCCCTAATTTAAGTGTAGAAGATGAGGCAAAAATGGCCAAATAATGTTTCATAGTAGTAGAAGCAAAACAATTCCAAACCAAAAATTAGTATGTGAACACAGTTTACAATCCAAACCAATATGAAGGACTCATATAATTTTGATGCTCATATAATTTCCTAAAATCATAATAAAATTCCAGACCAATATGAAGGACTCATAGATGTCAATGAACAACCACCTAAACTACAAAACCATGGAGAATTGGACAAAAATTCCAAACCAATATGATATGCCACCGTAAACTACAAAACCATGGAGAATGTAAACAACAAATCCAAACAACTTCTTTCCTTTCTCAGAATTCAAACAACAAACAACAACAAATCCAAACAACTTCTTCCCTTTCTCAGAAAAAGGGAAATACACAACAGCAACCAAGAGGGAGCCGAAGGAACCAGAAAATTGGAAACCAGTTCATATACAGACTGATTCAAAAATTCACCCTAAAACTGAAGCCTCAAAGAACTGAAGAACTGAGTAAATGAAATACCTCTGATGTTGGGAGGGTAGATAGTTGCGGAGCTTGATGTTGATCAATGGTGAGGGTATTTCTTCCCTGTTGAGACCACCTTCTCTGTTGGAATTTCTGCCATAGTTCTAATTAGGCAACCACCAAACGATAAACCATGAAACACAAAATAAAGCTTAACACATATATATACCAGAAACAGAAATGATGATAAACAAAAGCATCGATGTAAACCATTATAGGTCTCAATTCCACTAACAAACAACAATTTATCCAACTAAAACTTGAAGCATAGAGAGAAAGAGAGAGAGGAAAAGAGGTACCGGAGAGCTCCCATGGGGGTTCGAAGCAGAGAGAGAAAGAGAAGACGGCGACTTCAATGTAAAATTCGAGGAAGTTGATGATGATGATGGTAGTTGTTGTGGTGGTGCCAATCAAAGCACAGTTTTGCAGTTCTCAATCGAAAACCCTAGCCTTCAAAACTAACCAACAAAACCAAAACAATAGTTTCACAATTCTCAATCGAAAACCCTAGCCTTCAAAACCAACCAGCAAAACCAAAACACCGTCAATTTCTCCGCTCGAGCAGACTGCGCGTATATCGGATCACAAAAAGCACTTTTTACATCACATTTTCAGATCTATTCATCTCAAAACCCTAAAGTGAGACCCTCTCCCTCTAAAATACTCTCTCTCTCTCTCTGTCTCTCTCTCTCTAGATGTCCACCTAGTTCTAATGGTTTCTCAACCCTTATGCCTTCATTAAAAAGGTAGAACTCCTCAAGCTCTTCACTTTGATCCCAGTAGAAGTTGGTTTCGCCATTTCTGAAGTTTCATCCTTGCTTGGTGTTGGAAAAAATGATTTTTGGTGACTTTAATTTAATATTAAAGTGTGGTGACTTTAATTAAATATTAAAGTGGGTCCCAACCTTTTATTGTGTTAGGTCCAAGTGAGCCAAAAACCATTGGGTTTTGAATAAGAAATTACCAAGAAATTGCCTCATGATGTTATATTCATGAATAGGATTTTAAAGAGTATTTAAATCCTTTTTCTTTGGCTAAAGGGTGTGAATCCTTTGGGCATCCAAACTTTCATATTTTGGAAAGGGGCTATGGATGCTTGGTGTTTTAATGACCAGCCTTAAAGGCTGGAGGCTCTTCTTCTCTCCCCTTTACATGTATAAATTGAGACCCTCCTATCAAGTTTCAATATAGAAATTTTTTTGCTTCCATTTTATAAGTCAGTTTGCCAGAAAGTTCCTACATTGAGAGAGTGCTACCACTATTCTTGTTCGCTAAGCTAGACAGAAAATGCTTCTGCCGTAGCTGGTTTTGACCGTCGTATCCTAGGAGACAGACGCCGGGATTCCTCAAGCACTCGACCCGTGAGGCGGCGAAATCTATTTTAAGGAAACTGCTTCCGTGCAGGCTTCGGCTTCATCTCTTTACCCTTTTATTATTTTGTGTATTTCTGTTGAAATTTAATTGTAATTATCAGCATATGTTCTTGGTATATAATTTGATTTCTTCATAAATCTATTTATTTAATTTCACAATTTGAACAAGCTTAAAACAGATTTTATATATATTTTCTATGAAATTGATCGAATAGATTTATATAGACTATTAGGTTAGTGTACGGGGAGCAAATATTCAGGCAAGCCCGTATTCCTTTCTTCCAAGTTCCTATCTGTCCAATCGACCTGCAAGCACAACAGCGGTAAGCTACTGTAGACACCCCATTTTTGACCGACCTTGAGACTCAGACGTATATATATTTTCTATGAAATTGATCGAATAGATTTATATAGACTATTAGGTTAGTGTACGGGGAGCAAATATTCAGGCAAGCCCGTATTCCTTTCTTCCAAGTTCCTATCTGTCCAATCGACCTGCAAGCACAACGGCGGTAAGCTACCCGGCGGTGTGTGGCCGGAAAACCCCTCCGACGGTCAAGTTAGCACACACCTTAGGATAAAGAGAGATAGAGGGGAATGTTGGAGTGTGGGAGTTCTTTACAAAGTGTTCGTCTGTCCGCGTATGGGGGGCGCAGACATGCTTATATACCCTCTATGCCCCATATCCACTCCCAGTCATCTCCTGACACGTGGCTCCGTTATCCCATCTGTCAGCGTAAACCTTGCTGAACATCACCTAATCTCAACTGCCTGCCTTCTCAGCTGGAGCTCGGCAGCCGAGCTCCTCTATCCACGGCCGTGCTGTGCTTCATACCCAAGCACTTCACTGGCTAAGCCCAAGGAGGACCGGGCTAGGCGGCATCTCGGCAAAGCCGAGCCCGGGGCACCTCCTGTGGTCGGCCTTCCTGCCGATCAAACGATTACCTCGACTGACCACGCCTTTCCGAGCGCTGGTCACTCAGCTTGATTGGCTCCACCATCGCCTGATCAAGCAGCTCGGTTCAACCGAGCACTGCCTTGCCAAGCAGCTTCTTTACAGTCTGGGGCGGCACATACTTGGCCCAACTCCTGCCCGGCCCAAGTCCTGGCAGCCCATCTACGGGCGGATCGCCGGTCATCTCGGCCCCATGCATCATTAGGCTCTCAACCTGCTCGGCCGTTACCTCGGCCCAATTCCATATCATAAATCTCCCTCTCAATTGCCCCTTAATTCCGTCCGCGCGAGCGTGACTGGGATTACCTATACTTCGACCGGGGTAACATTTCCTCGGTCTTCAAAATGCCAAAGGGCGACCAGGCTAGTTAAGATTACTGTCTGCAAACTTGCCCGGTTATACTCCTCGGCTGACGTCCTCTTCTTCGAAAGTAGCCCGGTTGGCTCCTCGACTCTTCAACTTGTCTCTTCAGTTCTGACGTTGCCATAAATGGGGACACGTGGCGGGCCGCCATTGGTTCTCGAGCAGCCAACCCGCCGTTTTTGCCAGAATTTGAATTTGGGCGGTCTCTCTTGTCTATACATACAAGACCCTTCTTACTCAATTTCCTCATACTGTCTTTCTGCTATCCGACTCGCCAGAGCTCTAGCATCTTCCTCCAAGCCCCGCTTGCCATTCTTTGCGTTCGTGCTCGAAGGAAAAGTAATTGCCTTTCACTGGTAAGACCTTCAACCCCTCTTTTGTTGCTATCTTCTTTAATATTTCACATATTAGGGCACTAAAACTTAGTTCTTAGGGCAAAGGCCATAGAAACCGTCCCAAACCTCCCACTGTTCTTGGTGTTCTTCATTTTTCCTGAAGAACACTGAAGAACTGGGGCGGACCGAGCTCCTGGTCTTTATTTGATTCAAAAAACCAATCTAACCGAGCAAATAACATGTTTGTCTCAACCCTAGCAAAAACCGAGATAGCAAAAGGAATTGGTCGCTCGACCGGGCTAACATCTGGTCTGCTTGGGCGACCGAGCTCCTTAGTTAGCTTAGACGACCGAGGTAGTTTGGAACTCTTAATGACCGAGCTAATGTCCAGCTCCCTTCGCGCGACCGCGCTCACACTTACACTTGCCATCCTTTTCCTGCAGAGTCTAAGGGGACCACTGTCCAATCCTAAGGCTACCAAAGACCAAGCAGCCACAAATCACCTGACAGTGCCAAACCAAAGCCGAGCTAATTTAGCCGGTCGTCAATGGGGAAATTCCGCTTCCTCGTTGATACCCCGGCTGCCCTAGCTGCGTTCAGGGAGGAGTACGGCATCCCGACCGATGTCCACCTGGAGCTCGCAGAGGAAGAGACCACGCCTTGGGGTAGAACAGGACAATGCCCCTTCACCGTGCTGTCAATCGTCGAAGGAGGCCTCCGCTTCCCACTAAACCCACTTATCACCGAGTTCCTCCGCTGCACCGGGCTGGCACCCACACAAGTGTCCACCAACACTTATCGAATTATCAACGGCGTCCACGAACTGAACAATCGGCTAGGCACCAACTTAGGTCTAGTCGAGATATTGAGGCAATACACGATGGGTCACACCGGTGACGGCCTAGCCTATTACTTGAAAATCAGACCGGGCAAGGAGAAAATTGTAACCGGCACCCCGGATAAAGATATGCATGGCGACGATTTTTTCTGGGTGTCGGGCAATTACAAAACTGCCGAGGTACCGGGCTGGTTTATAAGCAAGAACTTCGGTTCCTCATGTAAGCCGCTCAAACTTGCTCGGTCAGCTTACCTCTTTAATCTGTAATTAACCGGTTTTTCTATTTCTTTTGCAGCAATCCAAGCCTTGCAAGCCAACTATCAATTTCCCAACGTAGAGGCAATTCGGACCGTGCTTCGCTATCGCGACCGAGATTGCAACCAATTGCTCGGCTACAGTCCCTCATACAGATACTCCGCTCCCCGCCGGAGTAAAGTTACAGACTTCCTCTGCGCTCCAACACCTCCACCAAATCCAACTCTGCCAGACGTTCTACTCATTCGCTTGACAGAGGAGCAAGAGATGGCCAAACGAAGCAGAATCAAGAACCTGCTCACCGCCACGTCTGCCGAGATACCGAGCGTTGTCACCCGCTCGCCAGCCGCCGGTCAATCCAGCGGCGCCGTGGTCGCCCTTGCCTCTCCAGCGACCGGGCAGTCCAGCCGTGAACCTGCTCCTCGCCGTGCTGGTAAAAGAGCTCGCGCAGACCCATCTGTCGAGCTTGTCGTCGAGCTGACTACCGAGCATCCATCTGACGCTCCCGTCTCAGTGCCGGCCTGGCGTCCACAGCTAAAGCACCGGGGTCAAGACTTCCCGGCCACGGCTTCGATCAAGGGCGATAAAGAGCATTTGCTCGCCTTCGATCTTACCAAAGCTCTTCTTCTACCGAGCGACGTGGTCGGCAGCGATCACGTCCCTGACACTCGGTTGATAAAATCATCAGTGAAGTCTATGGCTAGGGTAAGTCAATGTGCCTCTGAAATTTTCACAAGTGTTTGCCCGGTTCCTTCTCTAATCAACTTTACTTCTTGCAGGCCATTCAGAAACAACACCTAGTGATTGAGCGCATCCATAGACTTCGGCAAAAGGCCAATGACACAGCCAGCCAAGTCCAGAGCCTCCAAGCCGAGCTCGGCCGGGCAAAGTCTTCACTTGAGATGGCTAATGCAGACAACAACAGACTGCTCGGCTCACTGATGGTTCCTAGTAGTGAACAGATTACTGATCACATGTCAAGACATCATGGCTTCTAGTAGTGGAGAGGCTACTGGTCATATGTCAAGACATGATGATTCCTAGTAATGAAAGAGTCTATTGATCCTATGTTAGGACGTTGTGATTCCTTGTAGTAAAGTGACTACTGATCATAGGTTAAGACATTGTGATACCTAGTAGTAGAAAGTCTACTGACCACATGCTGAGAAATTAGTGATTCCTAGTGATAAGACTACTGCCATGTTATGAAGTTCCAAATAGTAGACTATTGAACACTGGATTTGTGTTTCCTAATAGTAAGACTATTGGCTTTAGAGTGATAGGTTGGACCAAATATATTTGGGTGCCTAATTCGGTTGATTACATTCTGGGAATGTATTTACTGTGATATGATTTTGAGAGTTTCATAATCATTGTGACATAAGGATTTGTTTAAGACTTTGTATAAATTCTACAAAGAAGACTTACTTATCCGACTCCGTATTGAGGAGGATAATAGAAAGAAAATGAGGGAGTACCTCTTCAGTGAAGGCCAATGTCATTGAGCATGGCAAATTTTCTGGGATGAGGAAGAAGCCCCCCCGTGAATAAGGGCTCTTTGTTGGGGCCAAGGGGTGGTGTTGTAAAGAAGCTGGCATACAAGCCGCGGGAACCTGGTTATCGGTTCTTTGGGAAGTGCTACAACTGTAGTAGCGAGGGGTTTTAGTTTTACTAGGGCTACACGCCACATCTGCTCCGAGAAGGAGCTGTTTACAACTTTCGAACTAGTTACAAATGGTAAGAAGTTGTTTATGGGAAACTCTACTACCTCGATTGTTGAGGGGAAAGAAAAGGTGGTCTTGAAGTTGACGTCAGGAAAGGAGCTAACCTTGAACGAAGTCCTGTATGTTCCGGACATTCGTTAGAATCTTGTCTCAAGGTCTCTTCTCAGTAAACATGTTTTTCGCATGGCTTTTTTAGTCCAACAAGGTCGTTCTGACGAAGCACAAGTGTGAAACTTGTGTTGAAGCGACGTGGACAAGATCCCGTATGAGTTATGAAAAGGCGTTAAGCCTTCTTATAAATTCTTACGAATGTGGGGGTATCTTACAATAGTGGCGATTCCTACACCCAAACGGGTTAGGATAGGCCCGAAATCCGTGGATTGTATATTCATTGGTTATGCACATAATAGTAGTGCATATCGGTTTCTTGTACATAAGTCTGAAATTCCAGACATACACAGGAATACCATCATGGAGTCAAGGAATGCATGTTTCTTTGAAGACATTTTTCCTTGTCGAACCCATGAAAGGGTTCCAAGGTCTTTGGAGCAATTTGATGAGCTTGCTAGTGACGATGATCATGTTGATGATTCAGGTGATGATCAAATTGAGGTTTTAGATGAGCCCAGAAGGAGTAAAAAGGCTAGGATATCCAAATCTTTTGGTCCAAACTTCTTGACTTATATGGTTGAGAACGAACCTCAAACTTTCCACGAAGCTATGACTTCTCCTGAGAGTCCTTTATGGAAAGAAGCGATCAAAAGTGAGATTGACTCCATCTTACAGAACCACACCTGGGAGTTGGTAGATTTACCTCCAGGTTGTAAGCCTTTAGGCTGCAAATGGATTTTTAAAAGAAAGATGAAGGCCGATGGGTTAATTGACAAGTATAAGGCGAGGCTCGTTATCAAAGGGTACAGGCAACGAGAAGGCCTGGATTACTTTGATACTTACTCACCTGTAACTAGGATGGCATCCATTCGCATGGTGATTGCGATAGCAGCTTTGCGCAATCTTAAGATACACCAGATGGATGTAAAGACAGCTTTCTTAAATGGGGATTTGAATGAAGAAATCTACATGGAGCAACCTGAAGGGTTTTCAGCTCCAGGACAAAGCAAGAAAGTCTGTAAACTTGTCAAATCTTTGTATGGTTTGAACAAGCGCCTAAACAATGGCATGAGAAGTTTGACAATGTAATGTTGTCAAATGGGTTTAGAATCAACGAATGTGACAAGTGTATTTATGTCAAAGACACTGACAGAGGTTATGTCATTTTGTGTCTATATGTTAATGATAAGCTCATTATAGGTAGTAACGATGAAATGATCAAAACTACCAAGAAGTTGTTAAACTCTAAGTTTGACATGAAGAATATGGGCATTACAGATGTTATTCTGGGAATTAAGATTACCAGAATCTCTGGCGGAATTGTACTATCTCAGTCTCATTATGTTGATAAGATACTTGAGAAGTTTAATGGGTCAGATACGAGTGTGTCTTCGACACCTGTAGACTTAAGTCTACATTTTACCAAGAATAATAATGAAAGTGTCTCTCAGTTAGAATATTCTTGGGTAATTGGAAGTTTAATGTATCTGAGGAGTTATACTAGGCCGGATATAGCTTACTCGGTTAGCTGGCTTAGTAGATACACAAGTAATCCCGATGCTTCTCATTGGAAGGGCATTGTGCGGGTGTTAAGGTATTTACGCTACACTCCGGATTATGGGCTGCATTATACTCGATATCCAGCGGTGCTTGAAGGATATAGTGACGCGAATTGGATATCAGATATAAAGGACTCAAAGTCCACTAGTGGATATGTGTTCACTCTTGGTGGGGCAGCCGTGTCTTGGAAATCTTCCAAGCAAACGTGTATATCTAGATCAACGATGCAATCAGAGTTTATTGCTTTGGATAAAGGAACAGAAGACGCAGAATGGCTTTGCCATTTCATTGAAGATATTCCACGTTGGTATAAACCTGTGCCAGCTATTTGTATTCATTGTGATTGTCAATCTGCAATTGGTAGGGCACAGAGTAATATGTATAATGGAAAGTCTAGACATATCCGTCGTAGACATAATTCCATACGACAACTACTCTCGAATGGAGTTGTCTCTTTAGACTATGTAAAGTCTAAGGACAACATTGCGGATCCGCTAACCAAAGGGTTAAGTCGAGTGTTAGTCGAAACGTCGTCAAAAGGAATGGGGTTGAGGCCTTTTGAAGTTACCAGAATGGAAACCCAACCTAGTTGACTGGAGATCCCAAGATCTAGGTTCAATGGGACAACCTAATTGCGTGTAACGGTGGTATGTCACTGAGGACGTTAAACCTCTAGCCATTCCTTCTATCAGTGATACCTACAAGTGTAGAGGTTAAGCTGAGCTTTTAATGACTCTAGTGTGTTAAGCTATTGAGCTGAGTATTGCAGGATACTCAAGTAGAGTCACCTATGTGAGTGTGAAGTGGGGCTGCTTCTAGAAGAATTGGGCAGGCCTAGATTCTTTGAAACCACTCGCTGAACCAAGCTAGTGTCCAGGGCCACACAGGGCACACCAATGAGAACAAAATGGTGGTAGGAGTAATTCCCGTGTGAGATCTATTGTCTTAGTTTACATAAACGACAGAGCATTCAAGATGTCTTATTCACTGATCAGCCAGTAAACTCGATAGGTTTTCACTGGGAGAGGTTCAAAGCCAAAAGCTACCTTCTCTTAGAATAGTGGATTTTAACCTTTGAAATTGTATTTGAAAAATGGGAAAATTTTCCCTAATATGCCTTGAATACTCATTTTGTATAAATAATAAAATTGATGTGAGAAATGTGAAATTGGGGAAAAGCATAACTGGATGGTATAGTTGGATTTGTTTAATCACTCATCCATGGAAGTTCGATAAATTATCTGTTGTGAATATTGTACATCTGTTTAGAAATATCTATATTGGGCTATCGGTGAGGGATAATTTGATTGTTGTAGAAATTGCATGTGGATTAGATAAATTGAAACTAATCATTTAAATTGTGTCATTGAATATGACGAAATGATTAAGGCATTGTATTTGTGTTGTGGATAGTCATTGTGTATGACAACGTTTTTTTAAATACATTGCATATGTATAACATCTTGGGAGGAGAAAGGGGATGACTCCATTGTTTGGGAGGAGATAGGGGATGGACTCCATTGAGAATTAAGTTGGCCGGAGTGTCTAAGGGTGAAAGTCCCGAAATCTTATGTATACATGGGTGCCGATTCTACGGACAAATTTTCGTAAAATGGCAAGATTAAAGTGTTTGTATGATAGTTATGTTGATTAAAAACCGCCGAGTTGTAGTCTCAGTTGGGTTATTTGCAAAATTATATATACATATATTTGTCATATGACTTGAAATGAAATGAGTTAACTTGAAATGATAAATGGAAATGTATAGAGATGTGAATATCAGTATTGTATGGTCATGGGAAGAACGTAAGTTGGTCACGAACACAGAACGTTTATTTGACACTTATATCTTAGTCAAACCTCATATATTGTGTTAGACTGTCTCTGCTGAGCTTTGGCTCACCCTACTTGGAAAACCATTTTTAGGTACCGGTGGCATGCCTTCTCTAATGACGTAATTTGGGAGGACTTAGGAGTTGAAGGCTCTACTTTTGGTTATTTTGTGTTTAAATGTTTATTTAAGCCAAGGGCTTATATGTATAGAGCTTATGACTCCCTTTTGTTGTAACCAAGATGTACCTTGGAAAGATGTAAGCCCGCAAGGCATTTATTTTGTTGTTATTAAGTAGTGTTACATGCTATAGATTTAGGATGAACATTTATGAATGTATAATACATGTAATATCTTTTGTAATACGAACTCTGATGAATGAAAGGATATCAATTCAATTGTGTTCACTTCTCTTATGTATTGGATTATTGGTATTATTTTGGGGGTGTTACACAGTCTGTGGCCGCAAAACACAAGTCTTGAAGTTGCGTAATTCTTAGAATCAATACAATTACAGAGAAGAACGTGAAACTTTACATAGAGTCGCCATTATCGCAAAAGATTCAAATTTTCTTTTCAATTTTCATTAATTTTCTGGGCATCCAAACAGAGGGTAGGAATGGAACGAACGAATCAAACACTACTCCCTATAACAAATACAACAACTATTCTGTGAAAGTTTAATCTCAGAGGTAAGGCATTACATTACCCATAAGAAACACTTCCAGCATATAATTTTCCACGAGAGTTAGCATCAATTGAACTGTAATAATGGATCTTCATGATAATATAAATGCCGAACACCAACTCGAAAGGAAGTGAAGATGGGTTTCAAATTCCGATGGAGCAGCGGCGTCGGGAGAGTAAGGGATGAAGACAAGAGTAATAGTAATTTGATTTATTTTGTTAACTGTTCGAGTGTGTTACTAGACAAATTAAATTTTTTCAACTATTTATTGTCGTTCAACTTGATGATTTTACTTTACTCTAACAAGATATTGGAGTTCAGTTGTAAAGTGTTTGTTCGGTAATATATTGCTATATAAATTAGATTATTTCAGTGTCATATTGTCGAACTAAAATAAATTTGTTCAGTTACTTGTCGCTTTTTGTGCTTTGTAAATTATCTTCATTGTTATTGCATTAAAGGCATCACATCGTTTCAATATAATCAATATCCCTTTTGGTTACACCATACTTTTTGACATATCAACTAATAAGAATTTTCCTCCTCAGATGATTTACCAGCAAATGAGTGCCCTTCAAGATGTTCAGTAGTCGGATAATTGTACTTGCATTGTTGTAATGAATAGAAGTATAATCCTTTCAAGCGAAAAAATATAAAATAAAATAAATAAAAGACTAAAACTGGAAATGCACGGTAATGAATAAACGAACAAATTAAAAAAAGTTCACCCTTGGATTATTTGAAATGTATCTTATATTTGGCAGTGGGTTATCAAACATATACTTTTTGTTTAGCAATATAATTCCGGACTATTTTATTTTATTTAATTTTGACTCACAGAATAAAAGTTGAAGAAGTTTCTCAAAAAAACGAAACAAAAACATACTAAACAAAAATTCACCATTTCACTTTTTTGATGGTTCTTTATTACCATTTTTTCATCCATTGCTTTCTTCTATGATTAAAATACTAAGATTTTCACTTTTTGAAAAGAGATATGTAGCAAAGAAGAAAACTGAGAAGAGAAGAAGAGTAGTAAGAATTGAAAAGTAACAAGTGTGGGGAGATAATAAAATATATTTAATTTTAGTCTTTTGTCCTTAAAAGTAATTTCACACATGAATAAAATTGGGAAAAAAAAAATCTCATATAAAGGGTATAAAAAGATAAACTAGTGGTGTAAGTAGAATCACTCAAAATAAAATTAAAAAAAAAATGCTCATTTTTTAAGGGGGAATTACATTCACTCAAGAGGGAATAATTTTTTATTTTTTAAATTTTTTTACAGA